TTATATTTTAAAAATACTGACACACTTATATGTTTTAGGTGCATACGTTAAGCACTGAAACTTCACACTGTTTAAAACTGAAACTGTAAAGTAGATTTACGATTAATTAACAGTTATTGACTTTCACTTTCTCATAACTTCGTTTAGAAGGAGCAGAAGTAACACCTCTTCTTATGAACTCACAGTCTTGGGTGTTTTCTTCACAGAGCTGTAGATCACTTCAGCTTCTGAGTTCACTGATGAAGAAGGCTGTGAATGAACAAGATCAGCACTGAGAATCTCATTTCTGCATCACAACCCTTAGTGTGTCATTTTAGTGTAACACCTTACATGACAGAAATGCAAAAATAGTGATCATTCACAGCCACATCCCAGTCAAAACTGCTGTGACACACATCACTTTTACAAAAACTCTCAATGGAGAACATTCAGAGGAGACACTTACTGCTTTACAAAAGGTGATCACAGAACTGTAAATCACTGAACTATCATCCACTGAGGCAGAAGCCTGTGAATAAACACAAAGGACGATCGTACATTTGCAATCAGCATCACAGTAAATGTCTACATAGTTACACACCATATGGACTGATGACTTACAGTAGCTTCTGCTGGACTGTTGGATGTCATCTGGTTATCACAGTGCATCTGCATCAAACACAAACACAGATTTGGATGGTACTGGTAGCTAATGAGTTTTGGATGAATGTGTTCTTTTCCAAAGACTTCTGAATTGCGTCAATATGTTAATTCTAAAATACTTACTGTATTTCTGGTGCTGTTAAAATGTTCTTCTCTAATTTGACTTCTCTCTGTCAGAGTGAGAAATGAAGATTAAATCTCATACTATTTTACATGTACACTCTTTAGAACCTTCACAATTCCACAAAAGGTTCTTTATAGTGAAAAAAAGTTCTTTAGATTTTCAAAATGTTCTTTACACTAAGAAAAAAATGTCATTGCTGCGAAAAGCCCCTTTTAGAAACTTAATTTTCAGAACTGTACAATTAAACATGACAGGGGTTTATGAATGGCCAAATGTGTTTGTATCACGAAGCTAAACTTTATATCTGACCGATTTTGTCCCTGAAAACCCGATTTCCTACATAATTGTGCTAGTTTGATGCCTCTCGACTCACTTTATGGTCTCTTTCTTCTCACATACTGTAATTAAACTCAAATCTATATGTTGTTTATATGTCCATTTATTGATTTATTTGTTAAGTAGCCATAAATGAAGCACTATAATGCATTTTCAGTCATCAAGGAGTATGAGAAAACTCACCTGGTTTCTTTCTCAGTCTCCAGGTTACTATGGCAACAAGCAGTAACAGCACAAGCATCGCTGGAAGAAACATGACCAGAATCACATCATGCCTGTAAGTGATGGAGAGACATTTCTATTTATCACACAGAACTATTCTCACTTTTAGTTCAAAGCAAGTTAATCTTGTAAAGCTTTGTTTGTAATTTAGAGATATAGTTTCAAGCAAATGCAGACTGAAATGCCTTAAATACTTGTTTTGCTCATCCGTGCTGTGTATTTCAATATTAACAGTCTCTGAGGCTGCTGTAAGAGATGGATGGGGTTCAGCTCTGCAATTAAAATAACATTACTACGGTGACATGAAACAGTTTGGTAATACAGTTATTAGGAATGACTGAATAACGTTCACACTGTTCACACTTACACGTCTGTCACAGGTCTTGAATCACTCGTCATAGCTGCCAGCCAAAAACAGAAATGGAGAAACAAGTTCCTTAGTTAGAACAAAATGTTATTATTAATTAAAGAAGCTGTTTGTTATGCAAGCCCATTTACAAGAGAAAACATCCTTTTGTGATCAAATTTTGTATGTAATAGTTATGACTCAAAATTTGAACTCTGTCATAACAGTCATAATTTTGACTTTATCTAAATATTTCAAATAATTCCTTTTTAGCTGTTCCTTACTGTTTATTATTTTATTCATACTTGTGGGATTCATGTTGGTTGATGGCTGTGTCGTGTGCCTGCAAAACAAAAAGTAAAAAATAACAATAAAAAAAATAAAAATAAAAAATACTACTACTAATAATAATATAATATAATATAATATAATATAATATAATATAATATAGTATAATATATGTTTGGAACTACATAATGGAGCTAAATTATTTTAGCTTAAAATCAAATGCAGTCATTCACTCATATATAGACATTAATACTGTTTGTTGCAGCCAGATTATTTGAATGGCGATCACATCAATTTTAAAAGGCCTTAAATTGAAGTTTTTCAACAATCTATCACTATACAGATTCACAGCATATAAAATGAAAGTTTTGGCCTTTTTACAACCCTTGGCTGTCTAGGGGTCACGTTAAAATATTGTGGCTAGAAAAATATTTGGATGTGATTGATTTTTTTAAATGGTCAAGAATGTTTACACGTACATGTCTGTCTCAGAGTGAGATGGTGTAGCTACAGGAGCAGTTGTAAATGCTTGAAAGAGTGAAAGAAATTAGGTTAGTTTTAGTTCATTGAGGGTGGCATCATTTTTATGACTGAATTGGTTTGATCTTACCTCTTTTGGCTTCAGTGACTGTGAGTTGTACAGGAACCTGCAGATCTCCTACAGAACAGAAGTACCAGCCAGAATCAGTCAGTCTCAGTCCAGTCATCAGCACAGTGTAGGATCTTCTCCCATCATCACTGATCTGGACTGATGAAATCTGGGATGTGTTAGTCCTCTCCACAGTGTAACAGCTCTTATCTTCATATCTGCACCACTGTTTGACTTCATTCTTATATCCAGAACTATAGAAACACTGAACACTGATATCACCACCTTCATGTCCAGATACACTGCTGCTCACCACAGACACATCAGGAGCTGAAAACCATCAAAAGACTATAAGATTTTTTAGTAAATTTGCTTATTATTGTTTATGAAATGCAAATATGTAAGTTTTCTTGTTATTGTAAAGTGTTAACTATTCAAAAACAGTTCTGTTTTAAAACAATTCTGGAATCGAACAATATGACTAAAAATGTACATTCTTATGCTGATGTTTGCAGCCTACTAAATTATTCTAGCAGCTAAAGTCTAAATAGCATGATACTCTTACTATTTCCTTTTGCCAGTATGCAATCCTGACTTCAAACAGCATCTCCTACACTGCTACTGCAAAACCACTACTTTATTCTACAATCAGTGATCAGATTAATCCAAACCATAACAAACTGAGGCGGTGCATTATGGTTTTTCTCAGTCCCTTCAGTACATTTCTCGAATCATCCTTAAAGGGGTCATATGATGTTGCTTAAAAGAACATTATTTTGTGTATTTGGTGTAATGAAATGTGTTTATGCGGTTTAAGGTTAAAAAAACACTTTATTTTCCACATACTGTACATTATTTTTTCTCCTCTATGCCCCGCCTTTCTGAAATACGTTGATTTTTACAAAGCTCATCGGTCTGAAAAGCGAGGTGTGCTGTGTTTGGCCAGCTATCCAGTGCGTTGTGATTGGCCGAATACCTCAAGCGTGTGACGGAAATGTTACATCCCTTAACATACTGTGATGCCCTGTCCGGCCGGAGCGATGAGACAAAAACATTAAAACCCATTATAAACGAGGCATTTCATACGTCAGAATGCTCATACGTCAGAATGCTGTTCATAAACTTCAGTTCAGCATTCAACACAATCATCCCTCAAAAGCTCATTCACAAACTGGTCCAGCTGGGGCTCAACACTTCGCTGTGCAACTGGCTGTTGGACTTCCTGACTGGAAGACCTCAGGCAGTTCGGGTCGGCAGCAACACATCCAGCACCATCACACTGAACACTGGGGCCCCCCAAGGATGTGTGCTGAGCCCCCTCCTCTTCACTCTGCTGACCCACGACTGCACACCGTCACACAACTCCAACCTCCTTATCAAGTTTGCGGATGACACGACTGTAGTGGGTCTCATTAGCAACAGAGATGAGACAAACTACAGGAGCGAGGTGAGCCGCCTGGCCGGGTGGTGCAGTGACAACAATCTCTCTCTGAATGTGAAGAAGACGAAGGAGATTGTTGTTGACTTCAGGAGAGTGCGCACTCAGCATGCTCCTCTGACCGTCAATGGTGCGACTGTGGAGAGGGTGAGCAGCACCAAGTTCCTGGGTGTGCACATCACAGAGGATCTCTCCTGGACTGACAACACCGCAGCACTGGCCAAGAAAGCACAGCAGCGTCTCTACTTCCTCCACAAACTGAGAAGAGCCAGAGCCCCGGCCCCCATCATGTGCACCTTCTACAGAGGCACCATCGAGAGCATCCTGACCAGCTGCATCACTGTGTGGTATGGCGCCTGCAACGCGTCCTGCCGCAAGACACTTCAACGCATAGTGAGAGCAGCTGAGAAGATCGCTGGTGCCTCTCTCCCCTCCCTTCAGGACATCTACAACGCCCGTCTCCCCCGCAAAGCCCTCTGCATTGCAGGTGATCCCACCCACCCGACACACAGCTTCTTCAGTATGCTGCCATCAGGGAGGAGACTGCGGAGTCTCCAGGCCAGGACCAGCAGACTGAAGGACAGCTTCATCCATCAAGCTGTCAGGAAGCTGAACTCCCTCCCGACCTTGCCCCACGCACCTCTGAACTCTGACGGACTCTCCCACTCCCCCCTCCC